GATCAGTGTGCTCGGGTTTGGAAAAGGGGTTTGGTCCTTCAGGGTGGCTGGGAATAGTAGGAATCAAAACTCACAAAAACCTCACTGTGGTTAAGCTCTCTTAGAAAATGACTCTAAATTGGATGGGTAGACTAGCTTAGCCTAGCAAGGCTAAGCAGGAATTGTATCTGGAGTAGCTGACAACTGAAGAAAGTCTCTTCCCTGTTCCTTGCACTGCAGTTCAGTGGTTTTACTTCAGCCTAACTGAAGGAGCAGTCTTGTGTGAAAACTGAGGCAACAAGATGTGGATGGGGCATGGAGCAGACAGAGGAATGGAAAGCTGAGCTTGACAGTGGGACTCCAGGGCAGGGGAGAAGCTCCTGCTGTTTGCTGGCTGCAGGGCTATGAGCAGGACTGGCTCTTGGACAAGGGTACTGGAGCAGGGGACTTTGGGGAGAGCCAGATAGCTTGGACTAGAATTTGATGTTGTGTAAGTCAGCACTGGAGGGATCAAGGGATGTGTTCTGGAATAAAACCAGATGTCTGATGTATCTGTTACCTTATTTTCTTAGCACGAGGATAGGCTATGCCCCATCCTCCTGGATTGATGACTACTTTGACTGGGTGAAGCCACAGTCGTCCTGTTGCAGAGTCTACAATACCACTGGACAGTTCTGCAATGCTTCAGGTATTGGCATGTGTCTTGTGGCTTGGGGATGGGTTGGTTTCTAAGCTTCACAGTCGTATCATGGGGTGAGTCAGGGAAATAACTTTTCTTACTGTAAGCAGGCACCTCTTGAGTTGCCTTCTGATGAGTTCAAGCTGCTGTCTGAGTGAAATGCTGCAGGTTGAAGAACAGCCTACCTAAAACAGCCAGTGGAATGGCTAAAACTTCTGGTCCTTCTGCAGGCTTCATCAGAGCACACAAACTTCACACTCTGGTTTTGTTCAGATCTTTCAGTTTGGGATAATTTTCATCAAGTCTAATGTAGACAGTGCACAAGTAACTGAGTTCTCTGGTAGCCCTTGCCTTAGTAGTAATAAATAAAGGACTAGAAATTCTACACAGAGCTTCAGGGCTGGTCAGTGAAAATGCTTTTTGTGGAATTGTATCTTGTATTCCAAGCCAGAAGTTCATAGTGTTGTGACAAAGGACACTTGATCCTGTAGCTGACCTCCCTCCCTGTGTGTTTCAGTGACAGACCCATCCTGCACTCTGTGCCGACCGCTGACTCCAGAGGGCAAGCAGAGGCCACAGGGCAAGGACTTCATGACATTTCTGCCCATGTTCCTTTCAGACAACCCTAATCCTAAATGTGGCAAAGGGTAAGAGCCATAGTCTGCGTGTCTGGCTTAGAGCAGTGTGGCAGAGCTGCTTCTTTCAGCACTGACATCTTGTCTGTGTGTTTTCTGAAACAAAGCTGGGAGAACAAATGCATCAGCAATTAAATGGAACAACAGCTTTCCCCTGGACAAAGAGAAGCAACTTCTGCAGTCTGTTCTAGTATGTCCTGGGCAGTCATGAAACGTTTTGTGTTCTGAAGCTTTTATCAGTTTTGGAAACTGATTGTAGGCTGGAAACTATTAGAAGCAAGATCTAAAATCTAATAAATTTGAACGATGCTCTCTGCCATTGCCATCTAAAATGTTCCTGTGTTTCCACAGAGGACACGCTGCATATAACTCTGCTGTCAACTTCATAAACAACAAATCTGATGTGGGAGCTACTTATTTTATGACTTACCACACGGTGCTGAAAACCTCCTCTGATTTTATTGATGCTATGAAGAAGGCTCGGGTGATAGCAGACAACATTACTGACAGCATGGGCCTCAGAGAGAAGAACTACCGTGTGTTCCCTTACAGGTATGCTTGGGCCCCTCCTGCCTCAGTGACACACTCCACCTGAGGAACTGAGAGAAGGTGCCTGGCAGACTTGAGCATTGAATCTTGTTGAACAGGAGGCATTACAGAGGTGCTGGAACATGTAGTGAAACCACAAAAACACAACTTTCAGCCACACCAGCAATTTCACTTCACGGTGGCTGATGACTCAAATCAAGGAGCCTGTCTTGCCTACAGAGGTAGCTCTGGCTTCAGCTCAGAGCTTTCATAGTAGGATTTAATAGTTGTAACTGAAGTAGATATGTCCAGTTAACCTGGATCACTGCAAGCTGTAATGTGAACGTGTTGACTTCAGACTTATTTAAACACAGAGGCAGCAGTGATGTCAGGTACTGCTTGTCTAGTGCTTGCATGATGAACTTGCTGAAGACTCACACAGTGTACCACAGGGAAATGGAGGAGTTGGTATCTGCACACCCCAAATACTCCTCTGTTTGCTGCAGAGTCCTGCCCATCCTTTGGCATCTGAGGCACCACATCCTGGCAGCTGTTGGTGCTGCTTCTGTTGAAGGGTGGGAATTAGCAAGTTTTATCTGGAGTTGTAGTGAGGAGTCGCCACGCAGCAGCCAGTGTTCTTGCAGGGGTCATTCCTCTAGTGCTGGGAAGCCAGTTCCTGATTTCTGTGAGGAGGGAACTACCTTGTCCTTGCACAGAAGCCAGTCTAACCTCAGCATGTGACAAGGAGGTGTCTAACTACAGCTCCTCTCCTTTCCCCAGCGTGTTCTATGTGTTCTATGAGCAGTACTTGACCATCGTGCACGATGCCATCTTCAACCTCTGCGTCTCCTTGGGATCAATCTTTCTGGTGACAACTGTGCTGCTTGGTTTTGAAGTGTGGGCTGCTGTCCTGGTGTCAGTAACCATTGCCATGATAATCATCAACATGTTTGGAGTGATGTGGCTCTGGGGCATCAGCTTGAATGCAGTGTCACTAGTGAATCTCGTCATGGTAAGCTGACATCTCTCTGCCTCCATTTCCAAGCCCTGCACAGTTGTGTCTCTTGTGTATATTCTGAGCAGTGTTTTCTGCTAAACTTCAGCAGGCATTTGAACAGTAGTGGAACTGCCTGAATAGATCTAGCAGCCACTTGGGCCTTGGTGAAACACTCCAGGAGTTAGGAACTGAGAGCTGAGTGCTGGAGCTCTGGCTTAGTTTGCTCTCTAGAGGTTTACTGGAGGCTGAGAGTTCTGAGAGTAAAACCATTGCCCTGTGTTACAGCGAGGCAAGTGTTCAATCTGCCTGCCAGATAAATCTTAAGATTTACCCAGTTTTATCAGAGTTGTGAATGACTGTCTCACCAGCTGAGCTTCCATGGTATCCAGCCAGCATCTGTCTGCAGTGTTCCTGGAGCTGACACCTGCGAGCTGACTCTGGCGTTCATTCTGCTGACCAGAGCTGCTAGAACCCCTCCAGGCTGTCTGGAGTTGGGAGTGGTTCCACCTGGCCATCACAGTGCTCCTGCAGCTGATGTTTCCTTTCCCTCTAGAGCTGTGGTATCGCTGTGGAGTTCTGCAGCCACGTGACCAGGGCATTCACTGTCAGCACCAAGGGCAGCCGCGTGGAGCGTGCGGAGGAGGCTCTGTCTCACATGGGCAGCTCGGTGAGTGGCTGCTGCAGGGGGAGGGAATGAGGAGCCAGGTTAAGTCTTTGTGGAGACTGTCCCAACACCCTCCACTCCTAAGGATCCCCTTTTCTTTTCAGAGGAATTAAAACCTTTAACAGTCAGCCTAGGCCTCCACTAGTAATAGTGGTGATTGGGACTCCCCATTTCTTAGTCTGTTACTACCTCTAAGAGTAGAGAACTTAAAAGCTTTACCTGAACTAGTAGTTTGGATTAACTTTGGATTATCCCAATTAAAATGTAGGTGCTTCTCTCAAGCTGTGCAGAGGTGACTAGGAAAGGCCCTTCTGAATGGGGGCTGCAGGTGGAGCTTGGGGAATGCAGAGGGCTCTGTGTTTAGGCAGCACTGTCACATCACTGAGGTTCAGATGGTGTGGGTGGGGTTGGAGTGAACTGCCCTGGTGGTGCCTGCACTAGACCTGGGTAAAGAACTTCACATGGTTTTAAGGACTAACAGGTAGTGAGGTGTACTGCAGATGGGAGCTTTAGATCTGAATTTTAGCAAATATTAAATACTTAAAGCAAATAGATTACCTCAATCCCTGCTTACCACCTAAACACCTTCTTGTTGACAGGTTTTCAGTGGCATCACACTGACCAAATTTGGAGGAATTGTAGTATTGGCTTTTTCCAAATCTCAAATCTTCAAGATATTCTACTTCAGGATGTACCTAGCTATGGTTCTGCTGGGAGCCACACATGGACTAATATTTCTTCCAGTTCTACTTAGTTACATAGGTAAGATGTGGCAGCCTGCCCTAAAACCCTCCTGCAGACGTGGTTCTCCATTAACCAGGAGGGACTGGAAGGGTAAAAAGCAGCTCTTGCAGGTGCCCCTGGGGCAGCTGGGCTGGAGCAGCAGAAGGGTTGGCTGCCCAGGGAGGTGGCTGCCCCTGGGGCCAGGCTGGTGGGGGTGAGCAGCAAACTGCTGCTGGCTGCTGCAGCTCCCTGTTCTCTCTCCTCAGGCCCGTCGGTGAATAAGGCTAAAACTCAAGCTGCACAAGAGAGGAGCAGAGGAACAGAACGGGAGAGACTCCTCTACTTCTAGTTTTTAACAGTGTTCAGTGGACTCTATGAACTGTGTCTTAGGCCCAAGAATTCTCAGGAACTGAAGACTGTCACACTGTCACCACCACTGGCCTGACTCCTGCACAGATCCAACGAGAAGACACCTGGCTGCAGCTTTGGGTATAGCTTTAAAGCTCAGGAAGTGTGCTACCTGTGGCTCCTCTAACAGTATTACTAAAACTAGGTGTGCTAAGGCTGCTGAAACACTTCTGTTGGCAAGAGGTTGCATCTTCTATTCACCTGAACCAGCTGTAGTGGGTTGAATGGTTTTTTTGTCAATGGAACCAGGGTGATGTGTATGAGACTGGGCTCCTAAACTAGACAGACACTAATTATTTTTTTAAATGCAGGTCAATGCAATTTTTGTCTCTATTTTTAGGGGGAAGCCATCACAAGTTGTAATATTTTTAGTACTATTTGCCAAAATGTCTTGTATATACTTTATTATAAAATAGCAATTTTGTAGTTCAAAAATTCTACTTAAATGCAATAAATTAAGTTTATACATTTCAGTGGAAGAGTCTTTCAGAAGGTTGTGGGTTTCATGAGAGCTTGTTCTCCAAAAACTTGTTTGAAGAAGGTGACGTGTTCTTCACAGTGCTCACCTAAGGGGAGGCAAAGTTAAAGTTTAAAAGTCAAACTGAGGAGCAAGATTCTGTCATTTCACTTACCTCCATTTATAAGTATTAATCCTTATCTTTAATGCACTTTTTCCAAATCTCAAATCTTCAAGATATTCTACTTCAGGATGTAAAACGTTAAGAGTAAAGGAGTTGGAATTTTAAAGCAGTGACATAGTGAGGTAGCTCCACTCCTGTGACAAGTATTCTTGTGGTGAAGCTGCTGTCTGATCTAGTTCCTGTGTCTAACCAGATTCCTATCCACGAGTTTGGCTCTTTTTCCACTCAAGAGTGGCATTCAAAGGGGCACAATGAGTTAACTTGAGAGCTCGGCTTAAAATTAAGCCTAAAATCCAAGCTCAAATGGCACCAAGGGCTCTCAACAAGTCCGAGCTGTGTGTGCAGCCTGGCTCACCTGGGGTGAAGCTGGGGTTGCCCCTCAGGCGCTGGTTCCTCTGCTCAAAGAACCTGAAGATGGTGTAGAAGAGCATCTCGTCCTCCACCTGCTTCGCCGCGTCCAGGAACTTGCGGGCAGAGACGCTGTCGTGGCCCCCGATCCCCCTGATGAACCTCAGGGCAGCCAGCACTTGGTGTTTGGACAGCAGAACCTCCACTATTTCATCGTTGGCTGTGGAAAGCCTCTGTGGAGTCAATCACAGCTGTAAGGCTATGCTTCTGAACAAGGGAGATAGCAGCCAGTCACCTCCACAAGTCTAAGTGTCACGTGGGGTTAAGAGTCTGAAATGCTTACTTTTAACATGTCCAGAGAGAGCTGGTGTGCAGGAGGGTAAATGCTTTCCAGGGACAGTAACAGACAAGCCTAGGGTGAAACCAGAAATAACCTTAAACCCCTGAGGGCCTCCCACCTTCACCACCACTTACTGAAGCAGCTTGTCTCCCATACCAAAGGCTTTGAGTCACTGAGCACGTGGTACTGCAGGAACTGATGGAGCATGTAGAACAAGTTGTGCTGCACCAGGGTTTTGATGACCAGCTCATACAAGTAGTGCTGTGAATGCAAGAAGAAGACCAAAGGTATGTCTGTCTGCATTAGTAGTGCTGCATAGGGATTATCACATGGCCAAGACTGGCCTGAAACCCCACAGAACTTGATGGAGTGAGGTTTTACACTGTGTGAGAGTGCTTTACCTGCACTGCAATCTGGAACTGGTTCAGAGAGCGGATGTATTCCATCAAGACTGCTATAGTGAACTTATGAGGGGCCTCCTGGACAGGAATAAAAGTTAAGAGGGTTGTCATTAACATGGTGAAGCTAAGAACAGGCATCACCCCCCCCTAATCCTGACAACACAGCCTTCTGCAGGCTTTTTTTAAGGGGTCCACGTGAAGTTTGCTGCTCTGAGATCACTGCCAAGCTCAGGTTTGGAATGAGCTTACCTTCTTCTCTGTGAATACAGACAGCACGTGGGTGTACATGTCAGACTGGTCGATCACCGCCTGCGTGCGCACCGGGCGCTTCAGGGGGGGGTTACTCCTACTCAGGCCTGCCTCTACCACCTACAAGGGGAAAAAAAAAAGCCTTTTAAAAAGAAAACTACAGTGTTGCAGTACTGTTTTAGTCAGCCCCAGCAGTAGGGAGACTCTTTTCTACTGGGAACATAACTGGAAATGTGCTCTGCTACTGAATTTTCTCACGTCTGTGTGGATGTTCTGCTGGCCGTGTTCTGTGCAGGGTGGGCTTTGATATTTAAATTTAAAAGTGCTTTTTAAAGTATGTGAATGTAGCTGCTGCTGTGTGCCTCAAACAGGCCCTCAGCTTTAGAGTCTGTGCACCTTGCACAAGTGGGCCTTCAGCTGTGAGCCTGAGGCAGCCAGGACCTTGGGGCAGGCCTGAAGTTGTCCAGGGTGCAGCCTGAAGTGCACAGAGCACCCTCCTGGCTCTGGGAGCTGCTGGGGCTTACCATGGTATAGCTCTGCTCAGCTTCCAGGTACTTCTTATATTCGTGATTCAGCTTGTCAAAAACAGTTGCAATCACAGACAGTGATCCCCTTTCTGGCTCACTCAGCACTGAAAAGAGATAAAAAGGAAGAAAAACTGTGAGGAGAAATAACCAGAGGCTTTAATGCTGGCTGTCTCAACAGGGGATCTCTTCTCTATGCTTGATTCTTAACTTCAGACACAATTTCAGTCATGTCAGATGTAATGTAAGTAATTTAAGTTGAATTCTTTTGTGCAGTTAATCCTGTGACTGAGGGTAGACTCCAGGCAAACACCACCTTGCAGGACCAAGCCAGCTTCAGAGGTGATCCCACATCTAAGGACAACCCAGCAAACCTGCCTGAGTGTTTCTGAGTAAGCAGTACTGTACTTCAGGCACAAAGCCCATGAACTTACTCTGAGAGCACACTGCCAGGATAACCATTTTGCATTCTTTCCTCTGCAGAAGGAAATCCATTAGTCTTCCTTTATCTAGCAAGAGGTTCACTACAGGTTCAAGTTTCACCTGCAGACTCCACAGGTAACCTGGATTTGAAGAAATTAAGTCAGTTGTGTTATATAGTATAGCCTAGACATTGAAATTTCCCCCCTAAAGGAGAACACATCTAGATTATGACTTATGCTAAAGATAAGGTCACCCTCAGTTGTCCCCACCAAGAGCAGTCAGGTTGTTTTCAGCTGCTTTGTGTGCTCAAAGTACAACCCAGCCACCCTTAGAGTCCCACAGCTCACCACTTACCTTCACTTGCACTGATGATGATATCAGGTTGAAAGACAATCCAAGAAGAAGAATCTGAATGTTAAAGTTCTAACATCCTCAAGAACACGGATTATAAACTGTTGCTGCTAAAGTCACATTCCTGCACTTCTGTAACCCACACATCTGAAATGGCCAAGAAATGTGGTGGTGTATTCTACCCTGTGAGTAACTCCACATTTACAGCTGGGGGGGCATCACTGGCTCTTGTGAAGCACACTGTCTTGTCTTGAACTAAACAGGCATCAGCTCAAGGTATCAAATCTGGCTTCTCCCACACTTGGCACATTTACTGATGCCTCCTGCTGGCTTTACTCTTGTAGAGCACTCAAAGGATACAGAGTTTACATGGAACAGGAGACTGGCTTGTCACAGAAGCTGGACCTGCAGAGAAATTAGCATCAGGTGAAGAAAAGTCACAGCCTAGCAGCTCTCCTAGGCTAATAAAATAGCAGCTTACACTGAAAACAAGTATGGATTGTAATGTGTCTAATTCTAAATGAGTCCAAAACTTCATTTTGAGCTTGGATTGTCTTTCTGCCTCTTTATGTGGCTCAGGAAATCATAGTCATGACTTGAGCCAGAGAATCACAAAAAGCTTTTGAGTGCACACAAGCTTTTGTAGCAGTAGCAAGCAGCCCCTCCACCTTTTTTTACACTTCAAGGTTCTAGGGGAGCATGCACCTTAAGCAGCAACTCTTTTCTATAGCATGCACTAATTTGGAACCAAAACTTGTGCTCAATTCCTCCCTTACCTAAATATGCAGAATAGAAATGTTAGAAACCAGCCTCCCAAAACCTCTTGCATGCCAGCTGTCACATTCAGATCATCTCAACAACAGTGTGAGGTTTACTACACAGCAAGTTCTACCTGCTACAGGGATTTGGTAGGGCTGGATTGAGCGAGGTGGCAGCACAAACTGATGGATGGTAGTAGAGCCATCAAAGTCTCCTTTTAGCTTGATGTCAAACACAACTGAGGTCTGCAGTTGAGAAGAGGAAATCAGCAGTCACAAATCTGAGCTACCACCCATTCATGTGTGTTCAGCCTGCCCGAGAACAGTTTGGGTCAGAAGGGATGTGGTGTGGTCAGGGACATCTTTCACTAGAGCAGGTTGCTCAAAGCCCCACCCAAACTGATCTTGAACACTTCCAGGGATGGGGCAACCTCTTCCAGGGTCAGTATCTCATATGGAATTTAAATCTACCCTCCTTCAGTTTAAAACTGACCTTTGAACTGTCACTACAGGCTCTAGTTTAAAACCAAACCAAACCTTTCAGTGTGTCTTACAGCCTTGATTAAATGTCAGCCCAACAAGGTAAAAGGATAACTCCAAATCTTCCCTACCCTTACAGTTTTGTTCCTGCAAATACTCTGGCTTCTGGCAAAGCTAAACATGTGGAAAATACTTTCCAGAGCTAAAAGGCTCTGCTATGAAAATTTTTCTGTAACTTTTGAAAGGCAAGGTCCAAGATAATACAAATAGATCAGACCTCAGTATCCTGATGATGAACCACCACCAAGTTATCCACAACATTCAGTGCAAACTTGCCAGTTCTGTTCAGCTTTAAAATGTGTGTTTTCTTACAGGAGCCCTCTCTGCAGGAACAGAGATGAGAACTGGTCAGCAAGCCTGTTTAAACTGAAAGCACAGAAGCCTCTCAAACACCTGTCACCAACCTGCCACTCGTGCACTTCATCCTGCTCTTACCTGGGCAAGTGGTAGAGGACTACTTCTGCTCCTGTGCTGTTGGAAGTCCTGGAGTGATGCCTCAAGTAGAGAACGTAGAGCTGCCCATATCTGACAAGACAACAGGATCAGAGCATTATTTTCCAGTAAGAGCTCTACCAGTCTGCTAGAGCCATGCATTTTATCCTAGGAGAAGATGTGAGAGTACCTCAGTCAGGTAATTAATCCATTAGAAGTGAAAGACCAGAACAGCACTTGGTAAATCACAATTCACTGACTATACTCAGGCAAGTTAGGGATCTGTGAACAACTCTACCAACACACCAGTTCAAAACTGAAACATTCTTCAAATTTCTGTATTAATCAAGAACAATTTCATGTAAGACTTCTCAAGTTTGCTTCCCCTCCCCACCTTGTGACAGCAGATTTTAGAGGCTTTGTTCAAGGCAAGAAGTGAAGCACCTTAAAGTAGTAATACTGCTAAACCAAAACCCAAGTGCAACCATCTGAATGTTCTTGTCTCCTCTCAGCACCCCCAAACTGTCATACTTCCCCTAGAAAGACTTAATTAGACACATACATTGTAGCCATAGCAATATCTCTTTCAGAAAGGCTGAGCTTGGATGACTTGGGTGCTGCAGGTAACTCGATTTCAAATTTTGATAGTTTTGACATTGTTCCACTCTGTTAACAGAAAAAAAATAACCAAAACATTAAGACATGGAACAGAAAGGTCTCAAGCAACCTTTAAGCAAATGCTGTATCACTAGCACCACCATGAGGCTAAGGATGATGATGGTCAAAAAGGAGAAAGGTTTTGACACTTTACTGAAAAAAACAAACATAAACCAAAAAAACTGTGATTCTAAACACATCCTCCTGCTGTTAGAATTTTAACAGCTTCATTATCTTTAGAACACCAGCTGCAGCTAGGAAAACGTTTCAATTTTAATTAAGTCAAGACAAATTTGTATGCAAATCTCATTTACAATTGGCCTGGAGACCTCAAGGAACAGTTCACTTCTTTTCTCTCTTCCAGCAAAATATGTGCTCCAATTCTTAAATAACTGCTTCCTGGGAAGGGGAAAAACTCTAAAAGATTATTTTAGTTTACCTTTACTAAATAAAAGATTATTTTAGATTACCTTTCCCAGGAAATCTTTAAGGATTACCTTCTGAACACAAAAGAAAAGTTACTTGACTTCAAGCTACAACATGAAATCTTCCTAATCCTTTGACAGAAGCAAGAAGTGCTGTAGTTCTTTTCATCATTTTAAAATCATCCTACTGCATGATTAAATTAAAACAGATCCTGATTTTCACTACATGCTTTTTTCCAAGACAAAAAGAACAATATTTTCCCAGCAACCTCAGCTGTTGCTCACAGGGAAGAACACTTTTCTTTATTTATTATCTTACTACAGAGCACAAAGACACATATTAAAACTAAATAATATATACTTAGATGAAAAAAGATCTCTTGAAAGATACTTAAGTTGTCACATATTTGGTCATTAGTTTTTTTTTTTACTCTCTCAAGGTCAACTGTCCAAAATCAGCTGGACAGACCTCTTTCCAAAGAGGATATAAGAAAAAATGAATTACTTCATTGTAACCCACCACCTTACAGATTTTTGCTCTTCCTTTGCTTATAGTCTTATAAGGATGTTGAACATCTCTTGGAAGAAATCCAGGGAAAATACCAGAATATTTGAGTGAAGAAGCAGTCTAAAAAAAATGGAAGCACCCAAAATGAGAAGTTTGGAACAGATGCCTTTACCTTGAAGTAGAATGGCTGCAGGACATTGCCAAGGACAGTGGTGGAAAGAAGGATGACAGAGCTCTCTGGGCAATACATGTACCAGTTGACATTAATGCTCTGGTTCTTCAGGAGCTTTAGGCTTCGTTTCTCTGGTAACACCTGCAAACACAGGATTTGAGCATTCTGTTGCCATCAGGGCTCCAGCAGCACAAGTGGTGCTACACAGGAGTCTGGAATGTCATGTGAGAGAGTGAAGTGTAAGGGGAACTAACAGTGCTGGAATGAAAAAATCAGGCATGTGATCATTACAGCAGAGGCTCCCATTTCCTGCAGCCAAGGAAATGCACATCAAATCCTCCTCAAATTCTCATGAGCTGAAGTGTGCTGTGTCTCCCCCCTTTTATGAACCTGGGTATAAATTCCAGCCACAGTGGAGAAAACCCCAAGCTTCACACAACTAGTTCTATTTAAAACTTATTGCTAAATCCACACTGCTTTCAATTCCCAGCTTCCTTAATCTTTTATTTTAAAAACTAAGACAATATATAAACCAATTCTCTTCATTTTAAGGGTGACTTCTCTTCAAAACCAGACTTGTTTGATCTGGTCTTTTTACCTGCAGGGTTGATATTCATAATCCTTTTAGGTGCCAAATATATTTCTCCCCCTCCACCAGCAGAGAACAATGCTGCTTTTCAGTTGCTTTCTGTAGTACTAATTATTAACAGTAATTACAGTGACAGAAACACCACATCTTAGCTGCAGGACTTGGAACTGCTGGGAAGTGCACAGCTTTGGAGGAAGTTTATAATATAGAAAGGGCTATTTTTCATTAGATTTCTTCAAAAACATGTGCAAAGATAACTACACATTACAGAGAGGAACTCAGACAATTGGCACAGGAGGAAGCTGCCAATCTGCAGAAGAGTATCACTACCTAGTCAGTTATGTGCTCTTTGCTGTGTTTTAAACATACACACATCCATCTCAATGCCCTTTTTTTTTTTTTATGAAGTGGTATTTCACTTGTTATTTAGATGTAGATGCTCAATTCCATGCAAGCCAAGAGCATCTACTAACCTAGTGTTCCCAAGGCTTAGTTTAGCACTCCTTTATACAGGGTCTTTGTTAGCTGTGTTCAATAACCTGCTACTGATAAATTCCCTCTGCCCCCAAAACATATTCCCCTCCAAAACAACTGTAGCCTGCAAATAAAACCAGCAGAATTTCCTATTTTTTGGTAGTGAACTATCTCAATCAGAAAGGAATTCCAATCTACAGACACAATTTTACATTGGCAGCTCTCTCCATGTGTCCTCCAGGAGTTACTTGTGTTACCTGGTAGAATTCAATCCCTTGATCTGTGATGAAGACTATTTCTGTAGAACTTGTCCAGCAGAATCCTAGAATATTGGCATTCTTTGTCTGTTAACAAACAAACACTCTTTTTACTTGGAAAAATCAGCTGTTCAGAGCAGCTAAAATTCCTGAGTGACTAGTGTGAGGCCATGTCTACAAGACCAAAGGCAATTTAGTTATCCCATCACTGCAGTTAGTCAGACTCTCTGCATGCAGCAGCTGCTTTTGTCAAGCCTTCCAAAACCACAGCACTCCCATAAATGCTTTGCTAGAGTGGTTTACTCAAACACAGTCCTAAACAATGAGGCAGAAAGTGCTTCAGCTTTCATGTAGGAATAAAGGGATCTGTGCAAATGAGTTATTTAAAAATTTTTATTAGTGTTCTATTACCCCAAAACATAATTTATCTTAGTTAAAAGTTGGAAAGTACCAAACAATGACAACAGTACTTGTTTCTGGTAAAATAATCTTCAAAAAAAATTAGAAAGTTTGTTCAAAATACCAAATATAGTATAAAACTAGTAGCAGCTTAGTGTCACTGATCAGTGACATTAAGAGGAAAACACCCACATTAACCCAGCTGGCTTTAGAGCAGTTTCTGTCCACTGCTCCTGTATCATCAGCTCTTTGCTTCCCCTCCCTCCCAAACCTTGACATTTGACCTCCAGAGCATTTCCAGTCCTTTCCAGGAAAGGATTAGTGACTGGACAAGGAGGATTTTTATGGTGGTGTTAAAAGCTGTTCATTTACCTCAATTCAGCTAGGTAGTAATGACAACATCTCTCATCTGCTTCATGTCAAGTCTTTCAGAAGCTCTCTCAATTAGTTCTCTTTTAGAGCAGAGGGCAGCAGCAGCATAATTAACACTAGAGTTCCACTTCAGCACATAAGCTTGGGACATCTGTCTTACCTTACACTCCTGTGTGTACTCCAGCTGAGGGCTGTCTGGAATAAAATTCAGGAAATCCTGCAAAAACACCCAGGAAGTTTTATTAGCAATTATGAAGCACAGACCAGATACACAGAGACAAGAGAACTGATATTAGTTTGTCCAATTATTCTGGATAAGATAAATAGAAGGAAAATTTGGCTTATTCTACTCCTCTTCAGCCCTGCCAGGGAATTCTCTTTATAGAAGGTGGCTCCCCTCACACTTTTTCTTAAATAGTGCTACCAGCCAGACAACAACGTTGCCTGTTCAGCCTCAGGAGATTTCCAGCTCCAATTCCCTGTCTGCAGGACACAGTTTTCTTACCACACTCTTCAAAGTTCTCTGCACAGCCAGGATCTTGTTCCCCAAGGAAAATTTGATGCACTTCACTTCTCCTTTGTCTTCCATCCTAGACAGAAAGAAAAAAGAAGTTATGGAAATATCTTCTACAATAGTTTCTTACAGAACTCTGTAGTCTACCCTCAAAAAGACAATGAGAGAGGAAGAAAAAAAAGTGTAACACAAATCCTTCTGAATACAGCTCATGAAAAGTGATTTGTGATCAGATTCTGCCAAACAATGCTTCCACAAGAAATGGAAAGACATAGAATAAGCCAATTTAGATTAAACAAGGAACAGAATACAAGAAACCTATGTATAGGGAACAATTTAATAGGTAATTAAATCCCAGGCAGGAAATTCAGAAATTGCACTTCTCTACTTATTGAAGTTGACTTCATGTTGTATATCTGCATCTTGGAAGCTGCTGCTGCTGTGGGAATCACCAGTTTGAATCCCCACACTCTCTCTCACCTATAAAACATGTTTTAATAAAATATTGCTGTTTAAAAAAAGCCACAGCCTAAGAGCTTCTTCCCCCCAGCAGACATGGGGACACCCCATCCTGATTACAAGCTTATCTCTACCAACACAACCAACAGATGACCACAACTACCCAGAAATTTTGGGCCTGAATCACAGCAGATGAGGACTAAGCACCACAGGATTTTTAAGACTGCAGAATCCTACCCCAAGACCACAAAGATGCAGGTGCCTTACCTGAAGGAAATGGGATTTCTGTCCTCCAAGCCTTTAACAACAACTCCTGTAGCTCCACCAGATCGAACAGCAAAAACCTAGGGGAAAAAAAAGGTTGTGAGCACATCTGTAGCTTACCCAAAATCACAACCTCAATGTGCTTTCTCTTCTATATCCCACACCTTTCATTCTTTTCCTCAACACAATTTTTGTTCTTACACAGATTTCCCTTGTTTGTACTTTTATGTGTAGCAGCAGGACTCAGAAATGTTGTTGTGTAATATCAGCCATGCCCCTGGTGCAGTTTGCTCCTGCAGGGACACAGGGGTCTGCCAGAAACTGCAAATCCACAGCCTTACCAGAAGGATAAATACTTCATTTAATTAATTTTAATACTGATGTAGCTAGAAACTGAATCTTAATCTTTGCAAGATGAGGAGATCCCAAGGACAGATCTCTCAAAGGCCATTCCTAGGGGAAATTGTCACTGAAGTGTTGACTACTCATGATTTAGAGACACATCAGAAATTAAACCACTGTAGAGTAGCAAGAAAAGATAGAGAATTAAATTTACAGTCGAAATAAGTTTCAAGGGAGCTCTTAAAAACAAAAAAACCAAACCCCAAACAGTTTCTGTGTCGTTATATCACACTCAAACTGTGACACAGTCTTTGACAGGCACCTTTAAGTATTTTTCTTCAGCTGGCCCTCAAAATGTAAAAGGATTGTGGTTTCTAAAGAGAAAGGGCAGCAATAATTCTGAGGAGTGCAGCAGCAAGAAACACATCCCAGAAATACTCCCCCAAATGTCCCCACTGCAGGTGACAAACCACGGTGTTAAACGGGGCAGGAAGCTCCAACGTGTCAGTGCTGAGGTCAGTGAATGGTTACAGGCAGAACAGGGGATGTGTCCCTATCGATACAAACCTCACGACAGGCTGTTGATCTTACAGCTATACTGAATTAAAAACTCAGAAGAGTTTCATATGGATAGTAAAGAAACACACATAAAAGAACTAAAGCCAAGAAATAGCAAGCAAAGCGTCTACTCTGGCCTGAGCCACGAGTAAAGCTCCAAATACCGAGTTTTACAAATACACTGAGCCTTAGAAACTAACAAGGAGGTTAAATAAGCCACAGAGATGAGGCTAACAGCGACGGGACAAAGTCTGCCAGGCACGGTGGGACATCTGGAACAGAAAGCGCTGACACTAAAAAACTCCAGAAAGCCCTCAGAGCA